TACCTGTATTCTTCAACTTATTGTACGCAGTACTTTCGTGGTGTAATGCGTATCTATGATTGCCAATGCGTAATTGTATGCTCTATTTTAATTTCAATGCGTATTTTGTAAAATTTAATACGTATTTCTGCAAATACGCACCTAATCTGGAGCTCTGATTATTAAAATATGCTTATAACCAATAAGCAGCTGTATTCAAAGATATTTTTTCTATTATATTATCAACAGATCTCCACCCAAACCACAATTCTCACCCAGGGGCTATATTTCTTTCTAGATTTTGGAGAATACACCTTTTCTCATTATAGCTATATAACTTGGTCTACTAGATATGCAGGGGAAGAAAATATTTGCTTGCATTTTCACTGGTCCAACTGTCCTTAGTCTGTTTTTTTTTTTTCAAGTGTCAGCTTCAAAACTGATTGTCCATATTTTTCTTTTTTCATTTAATTGTAGCATTTCCTTCTATTTTATGCCAAGCAAGAGGACGAGATGGTATTTTAATTATGAGCTGAGAGTGAAATACGTTTGATATTCCTCACTCCTCCATGGCTTCTTATCCAACCTCAGATATTTTGGAGGTCCGTGTTTGCTATAGGTGCTCCTATTTTGTAGTATTTAATGGACTTTTGATCTTGAATACTCTTCCTTATTTCCATATGTTTCATTTCCTAAGCGAGTACCTTTTACAATCAAATGTTACGTCCATCATTCTCTGCTCAATGAGATAATCTCCTTTTTTGTTTTTATTATTTGTTTATTTATTTACAATTTTCAAGCCGGAAAAAATATTTTTAAATAATAGCTGGAGATATTCCTTCTGCTGATGCTTTATTAATGCGAAGTATACCTTTCCTCACTCCCATGGTTAATTATATATAGAACATTTTTGTTGGGGATGTTCCATGTTTCATGCAAAGCTTGACAGACGGAGGTTTGTAAGGTGTTTACTAACTTTGGTGGAATTCGACACAAGTACAACTCTCAATAATGAATTCCGGTATTTTTTTATTTAGTTAAGTCTGAGAGTCAAATATCATTAAAGTGATACTGTGTTACTAGTAAGTATAATGATTCTTTGATTTTACCTTGAATCTTTGCTCTAGAACTTTTTTGAAGATTTCGAGCCTTAATATTTTTGTTATTACATACCATTGACGTAATTATTTTTAAAAATATGAAAATAACAACGAATAATTCCTTTTAATATCAGAAAACTGCTTGTATGACTTTAATAAAGTTAAATATGTCTATCTGAAATTTTTCGAAATTATAATTTCATTTACTATAGTAAAAATAATAATCTATAGTTAACTATCAAACTTTTTAGTTAATGATGTTATTACATATATCAAGATCTAGATTCTTCATTTTGTTTCTCTACTTAGATCCTTGTTCTAAGCCATACGGACGATTTTGCGAAAATGACAAGGTTTTATTTTAACACTCTGATACCACGTCTTTCGAAAAGTATTGATATCTTTCTCATAAATACATTTGAAGAATATTTGCACCAAATTGTTTGTGTATTGTAACCTGTGGACGTTAAAAACTCCTTTGTATTATCTTATGAATGCACTTATTATATATGTATTGATTTTTCTTTTTCCAAATTAAAAATAGATTTCAACAATCCTTAAAAATTTGACATTTGATCTGAATTTTTCTTTACTCATTTATAAAAAGAAATTATATTTCTTAGATTTATTTGTGAATATGCACAATCTGTATACAGTACAGATTACATAAGACATTCTCAAATACAGCATCCATGTCCAGCAAATAGCAGGAATGAACCTGGACAGAAGACATTTTCTCGAATATCAATGCACATTAAGTTATATTACATTTTAAACAGGTGGCAAAAAAACTGATAAAATTTCATTTGATTTTTTTAAAAAGATATTCTCCGCGTCGGGCTTTTTTCCCAAACGTCAAGAAAAATGGGTGAAATATTACAAATCAAAATACAGTGGAATTTGGTTTCTGATAGCATTACAAGAATTAAAATACTACATGAAATTTAAGATATTTCAATGGAAAGGGGTCCATGATATCTTGTATACTAAAGATAATTTTTGAATTTAAATGTTTTCTTTTTTTCAGTGCGTGATCTAAACAATATTCAAACGATGCAGTGGTTCACGCAAACACAAGATGAAACACACCCTTTAAGTCCGGCTTAATGGTGGCTTATAGGTCCTTAATGGTGGTTTAATGGTTGTCTTTAAGTCACCATTAAGTCACCATTAAGCACCTTTAAGTAACATTTACACCACCATTAAGTTACCATTAAGCCAACTCAAAGTCCTTAATGGGTGCTTAAATGTAGCTTAATGGTAGCTTAATGGTGGCTTACAGGTCCTTAATGGTAACTTTTAGACCACCATTAAGTCACCATTAAGCTACCATTAAGCTAGACTTACAGGTGCTTAATGTCCAAACTCCATTAAGCTACCATTAAGCTACCATTAAGCCACCATAAAGCCACCATTAAGTCACATTACGCAGTCCATAATATTGTTTATATGGGTGAAAAATTATTTTTATAGTGATTTGTTATCAATATTATAAATGTAGAGTTCGCCTATATCTTGATTTGGTAAAAAAATAATGAAAAAGAACGAAATTCAAAATCAAAAAAAAAAAAAGAAAAAAAAACACCACAGTCGGGGCGCGATCCCATGGCCTTAGGGTTGCAAGGCAAACGCCTTATCCATTTGGCTATCGCCGCTCTTGAAAATGTCAGGAAAATATTAAATATTTAACCTTTATTTTTCTCAAAATTTGTTTGGACTTGTAAAGGTATTTACTAGTATTTTGTTGAACATCTCCAAAAGTCTTGAATTGATTTATTAATCAAAAAATATAAACAATTTTATTTGTGGATCTTAACACATTAATATATATTTCTACACAGAGTTCGGCTTTTAGATTGATGTAATATGATTGAGTTCTTCGCTCTGTTACTCGAAAATTTTCGAAATGTAAGCATTAAATCATGATTGAAAATAAATTAATTATAGATAAAACACAAAATTCTATCATCGAAAAAGAAAGAGGAAAAACAGATTCTACTATTATTTTTAATATACTGCGGATATTAACGGTTTCTGTGTCAACAATTTAGTGACAATCCTCGCGGAAGAGTTACCTGGTTAATTACGTTTACAAAAACTTTTTTTAGAATATCATATTCAGTTTCAATTCTTTTTGTATCATAATGGGTATCAAAATAATTGACTTTTTACGATGAATCATAATTTTTAATTTGTTATATGCTTGCGTTAAATTTAATTTTTTTTAAAAATAATTGATCATTAAAATTTGTCAGTGTACGTTGTGTATGTATAGTTTCCCGTTAGTTGACCGAGGACGGTGGACACCTAATTAAGGTCTATTGTCTGATCAGTCGGTTTACTGTACACTGATCATCTGTTAATCTTACTCCGTTTCTCAATGTGTATACATCTGTCATGTTTATTCTGATCGGCCGTTCCTCTGAAAATCGATTTTGAAATAACAATCATTGAAGACCGACTAGATTTTGACAGATACTTACCGCTGCATTATTAAAAAAAATAACGAATTAATTAGAATTATTCATGATGTAAAAGCCATTCAAAAGTTTTTTCATGGTAAAATTCAATCTTTGAAAACTAAACATTTGTATACCAGTAGCCCCCCCCCCCCAAAAAAAAAAAAGGACAGAGATTTTTTTCATGAGATTATATCTTCCTGTGAATTCTGTAGGGGAATGTTTCTTTTAACACAAGAATTAAAAATACCATTTTGTTTTTAAAAAGTAATATATATTTTGTGTTCATGAATATAGATAATTTTAAGAACAAATTGATTTTTGGTATTATAAATTTAAGATATTTCACAAGGACTTGCTCACGGTGTGTAATAATTATTTATTTTTAAAAATCATATACACTAATAATAAAAACAACGCATGTAATAATGATTTATTTAAAAAAAATAATATACGGTTCTGATACAGGATGTCTTGTTTTATTATCACTGTAAATGATTTTAGGAAAAAATTAGACACCTCGAGCAACCCCCTGTGGCTATTAGCTAACTTTGTTCCCACTGATCAAGTTTATGCATGTTGACAAAAACTCGTAGAAATTATGATCGAGACAGAATTCTGATTTGGAATACATTTTGCGTAAATGATATTAAAATAACTAAAAGTTAGTTCAAAGATTCTATATAAGATGCGTAAAAGTTTAATGAGGGTTGACCATTAAGTCACCATTAAGCTCAGCTTAATGATGGCTTAATGGTAGCTTAATGAAGTTTGGACATTAAGCACCTGTAAGTTGCAGCTTAATGGTGGCTTAATGGTGGCTTAAAGGAATTAACTTCTTTAAGCCACCATTAAGTCACCATTAAGCTACCATTAAGCGATTGCTTAAAGGTGGTCTTTCGTCTTGTGAAAGGTGCAGAGTGAAGACTTAAGCAGTATGTTACAACCTAGCAAATCCAATGAATTATGCAGCATTTTGTTCAAACAATATGACAAAATGCTACGTACACACAATGCTGGATTCGGACAGGTATACTTTTTAGAGTATTCAATAATCGCCAAAAAGGTCCTCAGGGCTGAAAAGAGAAAGAAAATAAGTGTCATGATTATAGCATTTATTTTCATATACTGATTTTCATAATTGTTTTTATTAGACAAATCCAAAGTGTTTTTTATTGAATTGCTCTGCAGTTTTAAAACCAATGAAAATGTCCTGAACACGCTTAGCTGAAAATAACAAACAGTGATTTAGTTTAAAATTGTCTTCTTTAAAACATTTAGATTTTGTGAATAATATGTAGCACATTCATTAGGCTCTTCTCTTTAGTTTTATTCATTTCAAATATCATGACATGTCAAGTCCCAATAAAGGATTAAGAGACATATTGTTTTGATTATACATGCAGCAAGAATGAAGTGTTTAAACCTAAATATTTCTTAAAGAATTTATTTGATAAAATTTATTATCTCTCACTCACTTTCCTACTTGTCAAATGATTAGGATTTTGCTTAGTTTATTTGTATGTGATGTTTATACACATCCAGATATTTAGAATGACTCTGTCGAGCATAAATTTGTAACAAAGACTAGTTGTAGTAGTATCTTTGTATAAACTGACTATTAGTGAACATAAACATTAACGAATTTCTGGAAGACTTGCCCTGCCACAAACCCAAACTAAGTAAATGGAGAAAGCTCTAAGCCTACAAAATTAACATAGCTCTAAGGTGTTTTAAGTGCTTTTGAATAACAACAAATGCAAGCACCTTTAACAAAACAAAATCATTTAACTACCAAGAATACAATTATTCCTATTCTAAGCATATTGCACATACAAATAATATATTTACGGAAACTTTTTATGTGATGCAAAATATAGTGCAATTCAAAATGGGTTAAATGAAATCACTGTAATTAGAATTATCTTTAAACACTGCAGATTATGCATGGCAAACCACATAAATAAACAAATTACCTTCTAACATTCACAACCACTTCTTCTTCCTTTGGAATTTCACAATCTTCAAATTTTATGAAATATTTAAGTTTTGTTGGAATTGGTAAATCTTCAATAAGGGGCAAAATACTATGACCACGAGAAGAGAGCAGTCTTCGAATTTCATTTCTACAGGAGTTTTGTAAATTTGTTGGTTCTTTCTCAATTTCGTTTAATGCGGCCAAAAGAGCTTTTCGGTTTTCAGCTGTAATTTGAGGTATATACCACGTTTCATCGACCATAAAACCACAGTTAAAATGTTCTTCGTTTCCTAAATCCTTTATCCATTTCTTATCTGTATCTACTTTCCAACCAGAGCGCATTAAAAATTTTATTGATTCAAATAATCCATAAAATGCAAGGTAACGAAGACATTTCAAGGTAGATGATCTAAAACGAAAGATTTTTTCTATAAACTTATAGTATAATATTAAGGTAATATTGAAAAGGAATATCTTTATCATTTCCAAAATGCTTCTATTAAAAGAATGAATTAAATTTATATTTAAATACCCAGGCTGTTCATCTACTAAATCTGCCCCAGCGATGAAAAGTTGAAAAACACCATTCACGCCAATCGTGAGAATGTGTTGATTACTATTAGTGCTCGTTTTGTTCAGAAGATTTTGCCGGAGGCTAGTTATTCCTAGGACAAAAGTGTGTTCGAAAATATTCTTTTTGCTCAATTTTACTGGATATTTGAGGAGAATTCTTAAACATCTGAATTCCGTGTCAGTCATCCCTACAATAAAATATACATTAATTCATTTTTGGAGTCTTAAAACTTTTTTGCTTCGTGTTCAAAGTATGCTTTAGTATGTAGTCATACAAAAAAACCCTGTAACATTAGCACTGTTCGCAATAGTATGATCGTTAACAAATAATGAAAGTATAGAAAAAATAAACTCAAACATACATGGGCATTACCAGTATCATTTGGAAACCCAAATCCTCCGTAAAACTTACGCAGAATTGCTTGTTTGAAATTTATAAATGTATTACTTTGAAAGATGTACTGCTATACTTAAAATTGAAAAGACGTTTGAGTTTTGATTGACGAAATCTATGTGTTTTTTGGAGACCTAGTATTCCAACAATATTTTTAAATTCCCAAATATAATCCCAATCTAGACCAGAAGCACGCGGCGGATGTGATCAGTCGGCAGAGGATGCTCATTACATTGCTTCATGACCTGATCCCATCTTTGATATTTCAGAGACCCGTGTTTGCTTTGCTCCTAATTTGTAACTTTTATTAATTGGAGTTTTGAGCATGAATACTGTTCGTTATCTCCATATATTTCGTAAGTACTATTAATACATATTACCTAATTCGCAAGCATAATCCAATGGTGTCTTACCACCACGATCAGTAAAGTTAACATTAGCACCATATTTAATTAGTTCCTCCGACAACGCATATAAATTTCTTTGAATAGCAACTGAAAGGGCAGATTGTCCCTTCGTCGTTTTGTCATTTGGGTCAGCACCGGACTTTAACAATCTTCTTCCTAAGTTTAGCCACTCTTCATCATTTGAAGCTGCCATTATCATACTCGATAAGAAGTTATCTGTCTTAGCTCCAAGGTCAAGCAGATGATGAGCAGCTTCACATGTAGAACCTTTTGATACTTCAACTGTAAAATCCAATGAAAACTGAATCAGTCTTCTTCGTTTTATTTAATAAGCTCTTTAATGGTAAAATAAATCGTGTAAAATCAAAAGAATTTTTAAGCGACTTTAGTGATAGATAAGTTCTGTTCCAGATCAAATTTAATCAAAAAAAAGTCGAGGTCACAGAATTTTAATTTAAAAGTATCTTATCACATGTACCTTTAAAATGTTGAATTATAAAAATAATATTTGTTTCCCATCGCAAAATGAGGATATACTTGATGCACAGGAGAAAGTGATTAATTAAAAGCCATATCTTCAAACTATGTCATGGATGTGTGTATAAAATCATAGTGAACCGACTGAGAAATGAGATTTTCTATGGATCATGTCATCTGTAAGCTTAGACAGTGGGTAATTTCTGGTAATCAATGAAACTTTTAATCTCGAAAAGACTTTTAGAAGACTTCATGTATACTGAAATTATAAATGATCCTTTACTATATCGTATAATATCAATTCAGTAAACAATAAATAATTAGAAACATTCTGAAAAGATTTCTGTATTTTAATTCATCCTTATCATCATCAAAAATCTTATTTATATCAGACATAAAATGAACTCTAATTCGATATTTTTTTTAACTTCGTAAAGACAGATGATCTGTGTGTTGAAATACATTTTACCTTGCTGTAAAATGCTAATGAGCTTAGTCATTCCATTCCAGTCAATTTTAGCGCCTTTGGTCTTCAAATGGAATTTTTTCTCTAAGAGGAGTCTCATATATTTTATTATATTTTTACTCGTAAAGATGAACTCCAACGTAGAAAATTCATATAGTTGTTCGATATACTTTAGTTGGACGCCTGCATCCAAAACACCATAGAACTGATCTGTAATATACACGTGTATTAGATTTATGATGAGATTATTGAAGTAAGAGTGATGCTGTGCATTAATGAATCTTAATATTACTTGCATATTCGTTTTCCTGTTCAAAATTGTCAGTCACGTTTTTTTTTTATAATTATTATTATTCTTTGGTTTTCATTGAAATTGAAATGATTGAAAATCATGTCTCATGCAAATTTGATACCATATTCATATATAATTTTATACATATATTATTTGATTTACATGCAATACAACTGAATTCTTATACCTGTTCTTTATATTAGAGGAAAAATTATATGTGTGACTTTGTATTTTTTTTTTTATAATTTTATTTTCATTTCATAATACCAACAAACTGTGAAATATATATAACAGAGAAATTACAGTGACTTTGTATTTAAAAATATAAAGCATCCAGAGAGGTGCTTTTAAGGTTTATTATTATGTATTGCTATAGAGGGAGCTTAGTCAAGCCCCAATTCCTGGCAGCTGCCCTACAAACCACCTGTTCATTTACATTTAGTCTGATAAATAAATGTTGAACCAAAAAATCGGTGTGTATTTTTTCTTTATAATTAGAAATCATGAGCTTTGCTCTATCTTTGATGATTTTAGAAGTCTTTTCATTCACTTAACGATGCAATTTTTTTTTACACGACCCTGAATTACCCCCCCCCCCCTCAGTATTTGGTTTTAAATGAACAAATGCTTCTGGAAGAGTTAAGAACAAGACTTAGATTGCGAACGAAAAGGAAGATAGACAAGCGCAGGACATATTTTAAACAGACATGATCCTTTGGATCGAAAATTCCTAACCTAGTGATTTTAACATGGAAAGGGTTGTTTTTCCAGAGTTATCTCTCCAGGTTAAATTTGCTCCGGCACGTACAAGTTCTTCAATCGTTCTTCGGTCAGCGTAATTTTCAAATGCCAGCATCAGAATTGACTGTCCGTTTTTATCGTACACATCATTAGCATTTCCACCTCTTTTCAGTACATCCGGAAGAACAGATGGCATTTGTATTGCTGAGAGGCAAGTACAACTGATAGTTCCTAGCAAACCACTTCTACCAACAAATGAAACATCGGCTCCCTGTTGAATGAGATAATCTGCTAATAGCTTCCTATTATTTTCAATTGCATGAAAAAGTAGAGAAACGCCTTGTGGTGGTACCGTTGTTTTATTTATGTCAAATTTTCCACATACCAGTAATTCACTTATAATTTCGATTATATTTGCCTCAGACAATTTGGATAAACCGCCCCAAAATTCACTGTTAAGTAATGTAGTATTCTCAAATTCCTCCAGGGCTAGCAAAAACTTTACAACCTCTATTTGTTCAGCTTTGCATGCAACATGAAACACGTCGTGATCTTTTCCGAGATTAAGACATTCTGTACCTCGTTCCTTTATTATGAAGCGAAGTCCTTCAACAAACCCTTGTTCTGACACCATACGGACGACTACCTTAACATCCACGTTCATACCACTTCTTTCGAAAAGTATCGATGTTTTTATTACAGATGGATTTATAAAATTTATCCATCTTTGACTGTTTCTTCACTTTAAAGGTTAGCACACGGGAAAACATCCTCACAATGTTTACACCTTTGTATGAATGCACCTAAATGTACCGAAGTATTGATTTTCCCTCTACTAGTTTAGAATAATACTTTAAACACCCCGTGAAAAACCACTATTCAATGTGAAGTGTCATTCAATATGAGCATATTTTAATTCAAAAAAGGAAGTTAACATTCTGGATAGTTTTATTTGAGTCATCCTGGCTCGCAGCTGCATAAAGATTTCTTAATTCAACACTGAGTAAATTATCTTCTGAGATACGTACAGGTAGCTGATAAAAAGTTTTTAAGACAAGATGCCTATGTGCCAGAACGCGCACCTGAGTCAACATGGTCCTGTTGTTTTTCATCAACAAATATCTTCTCCTTTACTATATTGTATATTCAATTGTCAAACTTTGATCGCGTATTTTAGCTACATCCTACAATTAGGCGTCATGTTTGGAACAAAAATGAATCTGCTTAGCTATCTAAGTTATCTTCCATTAACCTATGACCATGTACATGTATTTTAAAGTTGTGTAATACATTTCCCGGAGGGGGGATGCCAACCGGTCAAACCTGCCGTGTGCTTGTCATGATCGGGAAAAAACGGATAAATCCGTCGTCAATTCCGTGCTTAAATAATGGACTAACAATTAGTATGAAAAACGTCATTCAGCATTTGACTCAATGATAAATTGTTTTTGCTGACAAGGTCATTGCATCGAACATACCACTTACGAAAAGATGTCTTTCACCGAGAATGCTGATATTCTTGTTTCATAAACTTTTGTCAATAGTTTACCTCGTTTTAGAAACTGTTCATAGGAAGAGCCTGCTCTTGCGTATCGAATCAACTGAGAGATATATATACTCCACATGCAGGTGATGAAGGTACCGGTTTATTGCTGCATTTCATTTTAAATGGATCATAATCTTTGATGTAGTGGGGTTTTTTTTATAAACGATGCAGTGGTTCTTGCAAAGCGTATCGTGTCAAGTGGGCAGCAGTATATGGAAACTTTGTAGAATTTTATATTATATTGTCTAGCATTTTTTTTCAAACTGTGTGGCAGTCAATTTTAAATCAATGTGAACAGTGCCTACCTTGTAATCTCTTCTACCCTGTGCAAGGTACTTTAGGAAGCAATGATACTCCTTGAATTTTTTTTTTCAAATCAAACTCGTAAACAAATACTTTTTGCCTGAAAATTTGTTCTGATAAGTATGCAAATGTTTATGTGTACACTGAACCAAACTTCTAAGTGTTCACGTAACATTTTTTAAGTTTTAAAGAATAAAAGAATAAATGCATACAATAAATAATTTCTTTAATTCATGGTTAATGATGCATATTTCAGTTCGATTTGAATTTCATTAAGTATCTCGTCAGAATTTTTAAGCAAATTTTCAAGGAATGGTGTACCCTCAAAATGAAAATTCACACAAAATAATCTCTATGTAGTAAGACCACCACTCGCTCTAATTACTGCAAGATATCCTTTACTGTTGGATACCATGTACCCCTGAATAGGCGATTGACCCATCTGCTGCCACACCTACTTCATAAATCTTTCCAAACTATTGAAATTGTGTGGAGGGGGGTTGACATTACTTATAAAAATCCAAAATGTGTTTAACGGGATTCAGATCCGGGGTTTTGACAATGCATCATCACACAGAGACCTTTTGGTTAATATCCATGGGCTTTTAGCAAGTAAATACACCGCTTTAAGGATGATTCAGACTGCTTGAGATGATATTTAGACTGCTACGGTCACCAATTTCTTATTTTCCTACGATTAAATTGTTTGTTTTCATGTTTCTAAGATTGTTTAAGGACAATTGACACTCTTTTAACCTGGTGTGACGCGAAACATTAGTCTCAGAAGAAGATCAAGGTTACTTCGGGTTTGGTTAAATGTTGTCCAAAGCTTTCAAATTGTGATTAATTGGCGATGAAAATGACGCACAGCCTATAGAAAAATGTGTTTAAATGGTTTTTGATACTGGTTGTTAATTTCTAAATGTAATATCAAGGAAAATTAACAAATAAAATAAAAGTGAGTAAAGGTGGTGTAAGGATGATCCAGATATCAATATTTCAACGACTTTCCCTTCTTTCTCAATGGTCATTTTGCCAATGTTTTGTGTTTTTTAGTGAAACCAGTTTTTAAAAATTGATGGTCACAAAAAGATACTGATTACACAAAACACATGCCGCAAAATCTTCGTCACAGAACATCGGTGATATTTGATTTTCTTTCAACAATTGTTGAGGAGACTCATTTGTTGTAATAATTTGAAAATATCATTCCATTTAATAAAGTAGGTTTTATTGAATACATTTATTAGAGTGAACACTTAGAAGTTTTGTTAAGTGTTTTTTTTTTTATTACAGCAATAGGTAAAATTTCACCTGAAAACTGATTATTTTGAAAAATTCATCATCACTTCCCCCTTAAGAAAACTGTCTCAACAATAGCTTATCTTCAATTATTCGGCCACCTCTTATCCGGCAATTCAGACAAACCAAGCAAGCTGGTTAAGAGAAGTTATACTGTATAAATGCAAGAAACTGTATAGAATAATTAAACTTCTACCAATTATGAAATATTGATTGATCAGTTTTAATTTTACACCCTTTACGATTTTTCTTCATTCATACAGAATAGAAAATCAAAGTAAAGACAAAGCAAGTAAAAAGCGTGTACAAATACAAATGGATTGTAGCTTTTCATGCAGTCTTTCTATAAGATGAATGCTGTGCAGACTATATAATTATGCCTTTAGTTGTAATATGCTTCTGCGTCTTTTAAAATCTGTGTTAAGGATCTTCAAACTCTTCAAAATCACACTTCGAGCTGAAAAAGGGAAAAAAAGATTCATCTCTCCTCTTTTGGTATTGAACTGTCATTTATTTTCTTGAAGAAAAAATTTCATGATACATGTAGTTATTTTCTCTGTATTGCACCTAAATTTCAGAGTAAGTTTGTGTACATAGACTGACCCTAAAACCATTTTCAAACTTTATTTAAGAAATCACTGTCTAGCTCTGAGAGTATGTCAGGGCATCAACAATAGTGGGAAACATGGATAATTTGCATAACGGGCGAAGCCCGTTATGCTAAAATTATCCCATGTTTCCCATTATAGTCGTTGTCCCTGGCATACTCTCAAAACTAGACAGTGATTCCTTATATTTCCATTTCATTGTGAAATAAAATTGTAGACTTAGACATTAAAAATGTAAACTAATCGATTTAAATTACACGAGGACTTCCATGCCAATTTCAATAGTCCTCACACACTGACGTCAAACACAAAGGCAACCGCACGAGATTTACATGCATGTTTGGCCTCCTTAGCATCAGACACAGAGACAGATGCGCACGAGATTTGCATGCGTATTAGGCCTCCTTAGCTGCTGACCTATCGACCTGCCTAATTTACATTCCGGCAGAATTATCAAGAAATAAATTCCCCCAACTTTTAAACAGTTATCACAGAGAAAAAAGTTAGAAATGGAAATATTTGCATGTATATTCCTCATTTGAGTAAGTAAATGCGATTTTTTTTATCATTACTTCATTATCTTTAAATATAATCCGTAGATAAAAAGAGTACTCTCTCATTTTCAGAAATAAATAGGTAAATTTCAAAATATCCTGCATTATGCAATTTAATTTCTTCAGAGTCCAAAAAAGCATTTTTCATCAGTGTATAGAGAGGGTCCTCAAACAAAGGTACAATGTATTTGTATTATTAGAAGAAACGTATTTACCTTCCAATAATAGTGGATTAGATATCCTTAAAATACATATGAAGAATCTTATTAAGTAGTAATATTTCATGCCAAAATTGGTAAAAACATAGTACCGTACGATCACTTCCTCCATTCCTGGACCTTCAAGATCTTCAAATTTCATGAAGGATTTTAATTTTGTTGGAAGTGGTAGATCGTCAATTAATGGCAAAATACTGTGACCACAAAATGAAAGCTCATGCCGAATTTTATGCCTGCAAAGGTTTTGTAGAGATTTTGGCTCTCTCAAAATTTCGTTTAACACAGCTGCAAGAGATTTATATTTCTCAGGAGTAACCTGAGATATATAGTCGATAAAATCGTAATTAAAACCAAAGCCGAACTCTTCTCTATTTTCTAAATTTTGAAACCATTCTCTGTCTGAATCGATGTTCCACCCACAGCGCATAAAAAATTTTGTGGACTCAATTAAATAACTTGCACTTTCAAACGAGCCCTGAAACCAAAACAAGTTCTAATTCTGTTATAAAAAAAATTTCAATCGGTAAAAGTAAAAAATCAAGTAAAGATATGAACTTCACTAAAATAACACAAATAAATAAATATATATAATTATAAATATTAAATAGATAAATAAATTAGTAAATAAATAAATGAAAAATAAATAAATAAATAAATAAAATTTGAAAATATATATAAAGAATATTTAAAATGTAATTGAAATTTAACAAGATGTAACACATGTAAAAAATGTACAATTCAGTTGTAATTCGCTTTGAAATTGGTGGAAAATAAGCATTTTTGTCGGTTTTTTGGTCAATAAACATATCCCCCAGTGAAACACAAAAAGTCCATATTATATGTATATAAATAGTTTCAGTTATCTCTCTTTGTTTACCCAACAAAGGAATTTTTTTTAAATCCATAAAATCTATAAAAAAATATTAAAAATTCATCAAAATGTTAACTTTTGAAAAATAAACAATATAAACTTTAAATCATAGAAAAATATAAATAAATAAATGAGTTATTTAAAATTACCTTACAAAATCAAAAAATTTGAAAATATAAAGAATATTTAAAATGTAGATTGAAATTTAACAAGATGTAACACATGTAACAAACAAGTCTAGAAGCTGAACACGACACATAGGCGTACTCCATTAATTTTTATTTTCCTATAACTTATATCAGAACAGGGGTATATAAACCTTTCGTAAACGTTGCTTTTAAACTGAAATATGTGTGGTCAGGACAATGTACAATTCAGTTGTAATTCGCTTTGGAGTTGGTGGAAAATAAGCATTTTTGTCAGGTAGATGTTCAGTGAGGTATTTTGATTTTGCCCCGGGGGGTCAAATGGGGGTTGAAAAATGATAAAAAACATTTATCAGCAGCCTAATCATCAGTGAAACAGTAAGGTAATGACTTTTTTTATGCAAAAAGCTTTGGTATGAATTTGTGAAATAACAGTCCATATTACAAATGGGGGTAGAAATTTTATATATATATATATATATATATATATATATATATATATATATATATATATATATATATATATATATATATATATATATATATATATATATATATATATGTACCTGTAAAAAGGAATTTTTGTGTCGGGGGAGGGGGGGGGATGTTTTAAAAATATTTTCCGTTTTCCGTTAAATTCTATGGTGAAAAAAAATTTTACCAAAATTTTAGAGTTATCTCTCTTTGTTTTCCCAATTAAGTATTTTTTTAAAATCCATATAATTATCTATAAAAAATATTAAAAATTCATCGAATATGTTAACTTTTGAAAATTGATTTGGTGGTAGACGGGAGAACAATACTATCGTTCGCAGTTCTTTCAATTCCATCATAACTGGAAAAAAATATTACTAGTTTGGATTAAAGATTTGGCATGTGGCTTACTTGAACGAAAGTTATTTAAAATTACCTTACAAATGATCAAATTTTCAAATTTCGATTTACATGTTGTAATATGAAAGAATATGAAATCCTATAAAATCTTCAAGGCAAATTCCGAAAGATTATGGAAGAGAAAACCTAATTAAATTTTTAACCAAAACCAAAGAATTTTTGAGTCTTGGACAGTTTGAATGAATATTTTTTTTACTGCATGTTATTCAGAGGATACACGATTCGGGCATAGTGGTAATTAAATACAAGATTATGTGCAAACAAGTCTAGAAGCTGAACACGACACGGAAATGGGCGTACTCCATTAATTTTAATTTTCCTACAACTTATATCAGAACTGGGGTATATAAACCTTTCGTAATCGTTACACCCGACTGCTTTTACCTTTTCGCTGCTGCGAATAGTACATGTATTTCTTTTACAGTACTATTAGTTACTAGGGTTATTTTTGTATCAAAATCGTATTTAAAAAAAACCTATCTTGATTTAAGTGATTATGTTTATGGTTTTAAATGAGATGTTCAATTTAAAATCAATATTCCATTACCCAGACCGTTCTTTCATAAGATCTGCCCCGGCGATGAAAAAGTCAAAAACACTTATCAAGTCGTATGTGAGCTTGTGATAACTTCTGCTATACCATGAAGAATGCGCAATAGCATTCACTGATACAACCTGAAGATGATCGACAAAATTCCATTCGTTCCATTTAACTGGATATTTGAGGAGCTTCCTAACAATTCTGAATTCTCTGTCGATAATGCCTGCAAATAAATATCGTTCAAAATATATGTTAAATTATATTATTTTGGTAATCTTCATTATTATAAAACTTGATTCATGGTTAAATATCATGATAAATCCAATGTTTTTGATTGATTTCAGTACAAAAAATTATTTTTGATGACACTTGCTCCCACACCCCATTTATTCCGACAGTGAAAGTCATTAAAGTAAAGATTGTTTTAAATAATCTTAAATCCCTCGATTTACCATTATTTAAACAGCATTTGAAAGGATCGACGGTAAAGGGAAAGTTTGTATGCAAGCATATTTCCCTATATTTTTTCTCGTAATAACAAGATTATTTTCTCGTTATTTCGAGATGATTTTTTTCGTAATATTTTACTTCATATTAACATGACTCTGACATGAGAGTATAACGAAGTGATCTGAAAATGGCCAATAAACATACACACAACTGTATTGACAGTATCTTTCCCTCGGATCACTTTTTTACATCATATTGTTAACTATAGGTTGACATACTTTGCTTGTATTCTTAACATGTTATTATATATTCTGAGATTTTCTAATATAGATTAAATTCTTACATAATTGACAAGCATATTCCAACGGTGTCTTATGACGAGAGTCCATATAATTAACGTTGGCACCATGTCTTAAGAGTAGTTCTAACAAGTTAACTAAATTTCGTTTAATGGCAGTTGAAATAACAGATTTTCCTTTAGCCGATGTCTCATTTGGATCAGCACCAGATTCCAATAATCGTTTTCCTAACTTAAGCCACACATCATCGTTTGTGGCTATCTTCATCATACTCAATAAGCAATTATGTGGTTTGGCTCCAAGATCCAGAAGGCGATGAGCAGCTTCGCAAGGGGAACCTTTTGATATCACAGATATTTAATCAAACATTAAATCGGTTAGTCATTGAACATTATTTGGTGTGTTTTAATGTGATAATATTATTGTTGATTCAATTATAAAAAAAAATCAGGATATTGTAAGATGTTCACACACTGTTATTATGTTTGGTAGTTTGATTTGTTAAAAGTGGGTTTTTTTGTTATATATTAGCAAATGATATTTTTAATTTCTTCTTAGTCTTCATAGGCATTGTTTAATTGTTTTTTAAACAATTGATCAAGAAACAACTTATAATTTGTGTAAAACTGATGCCTCCTATGATAGTTCAAGGCCAAGGGTAAGAGTTTTATAAATGAAGGTCATTCTTGGAGGTCAAGATTTCGAAAGTGTTTATATTCAACAGAGGTCTTGACACAAAGAATACAATGAAAATATAAAAGCCCAATTCCCAAATATTCCAAAATATGGCAAAGATTATTTTTTTTCAAAAGAGAAACTGTTCTAAAATTTAAAACACTTCAGTTACTGATCAAAAGTTGATATTAATATTTATTTTTAGATGTAGGCCACACTCAAAAGTAAAAGCCAGGAGTCTAAAAATCGTAGGTAATACACATGTGATAATTTTTAAATAAAAGCTTTAGCACATATTGTTCAAATTCATAGTCAAAGTAAGTTTACCAAAAGTTTATAAAACTCCAGGGTCAAATTCAACTATGTTTTTATGAACTTTTATGGAAAGAGTGAATGTCGGGGAATTCTTTCAATTCAGTGAGTAATTACCATGCAAATCTAGTTGAAGTTAAGACTTTTATCTTTTTAATTCCTAATTTTGTTCATTTTATTTCTTAGTTAATTTCAAATTATTATGCAAACGGATCTGTTTTCCCTATTCATCGAGAAAAGAATTATTTCTTCCAGTAAAACTTCAGAGGCGTTTGAACTCAATAAAAATTTATATTTCTCTGAACTGGCCTCAATGGCTTTCTGTTTAATTTTTTTTCAAACGTTTACAGTTTTTGTGAAATTTTTGAAAAACATATTTGCTCTAAGAAATTATTCCTGCAAGACTAACTATGCTTACTGCATTCATTCAGAGTTTTTAGAATAAAAATTATAATGTAAAAAACAAACATGGGCAAATCAAAATACTCGATATTTTGATAGATAGTGGTACATCTTTAGGTTTATATTTTAGTCAGCAAAAACAAACGCTTCTTAAATGATAGCTTTACCTTCCTCTAAATCGGTTGACGTTACTTTTCGCCTGATCCTAAAAATATCTTTGTCTTTGAAAGGATCACACTCGTAAAAGATGAAGTCCAAAGTAGCAAAATTATATATTTTCTCCATCTCCTCTACTGTGACCCCAGCATCCATTACACCATAGAGCTGATCTGTGAATAACAATTATTGAGATTACAGCTAAAAATACATGCGAGTTTCTAAAATGATTGTCAAAAAATTCTGTGCATAACGCATATAAATTTTTCAGGTAGTTTAGAATTTTTCGATGAGTTTTTTTTCCTCTATATCATTTCTTACCTCTAGAATGATTCACGTTAACGTATAAAAACAACTGTCATGTACCTATTTACATTTAAAAAGAGATATGATAATGTGAAAGTCGAAGAGGAATTTTTATTATAAAATATTGGAGAAGCTATAGATGCATCTGAAAAACATGATAACAACGAATGGTGTATTGTGTAATTCTTGATTTTAAAATATGTATCAAGATAATTATGAGAATAAACTTTATTTAAACTTCTTTGTCATTTATATTAATCTATTGATTTATATTTTAATTCCTTCACGTTCCTTTCAATATCTTTTCACTCTTATGGGGGTTGTTACCATACACCAGGTTTCCAATCGATACATACTCGGCATTGAGGTTCATTTAGAAGCAAAGGTTTTCAACCATGACAATGCTCGCTGTTACACGAGTTGTCAATGTTTTAGGCTCTTTCGAAGAAAGTCTATTGTTCACTGTAGTCTAATGGAAAAGTCAGATGAAGATGTAGCCCTAAGCATTTTTCTTCAAACATTTTATATTCAGTAAAATAACAATGAAGTTATTAAACATCACTGAAGAGTGCGATTCAAAGAAAATTTTAAAAGATGTTATAAAACACCACTGAAGAGAACAATTTAAAGAAAATAAAAACTAAAGAAAAAATAGACATTCTTAAAAAGTTAATTATTTTGTCATGGGTGTTGCATTCTTTGAATTTTAAGCAATCTGTACAACAGACATCTTAAAAACGTTTCAAGTAAACCGTCTTCTTCTTTTTATGGATAGAGATAAGCTGTTTAGTAAAATATCTTAGAAGGATTTTAATAGAAATCTTAAAAACAAGACTGCTAAAGGACATAGGTGAAAACAAACAAAGAACACGTTTCTCGATCGGCTGATTCAAACCTATTGATGTTAACATGGAAAGAGTTGTTTTTCCAGAGTTGTCTTTCCATTTCAAATTCGCTCCAGCACGTACAATGTCTTCTATTGTTTTCCGGTCTGCATCATTTCTAAATGCCAACATCAAAACTGATAGTCCACTTTCATCATATATATCGTTTGCATTCCCTCCCCTTTTCAGTAAATCCGGAAGAAGAGATGGAATTTGTATTGCCGAGAGGCAAGCACAACTGATAGTTCCTAGCACATCTAATTTACCAACGAATGTAACATCGGCTCCCTGTCGAATAAGATAATCAGCTAAAAGCTTCCGTCTATTTTCAATTGCATGAAAAAGTAGGGAAACGCGCCGTGGTGGTATCGTTGTGTTATTTATGTTAACGTTTCCACATTCTAGTAATTTACTTATAACTTCGATTATATTTGCCTCAGACCATTTGGATAAACAGTTCCAGAATTCACTATTAAGTAATGTAGTATTGTCAAATTCCTCCAGGGCTAGCAAAAACTTCACAACCTCTGTTTGTTCAGCTTTGCATGCAACATGAAACACGTCGTGATCTTTTCCGAGATTAAGACATTCTGTACCTCGTTCCTTTACTATGAAGCGGAGTCCTTCAACAAACCCTTGTTCTGATACCATTCGAATGACTACATTTAGATCGCTAGACGTTATATATCCACTTTGATTCCACTTCTTTCGAAAAGTGTCCATATTTTTATCACAAACAGATTTGCGAAATTTGTCCATCTTTGACTTTTTGAACTTTTTAAAATTAAGCACACGGGAAAACATCTTCCCAATGTTCACACCTTTGTACAAATGCACCTGACTGCACTGAAGTATTGATTATTTTTCTGCGAGTGTAGCATAATTATCCATATCCCATAACATAAACATCCCATAACATCCCATAAAAACACTATTCAATTTGTTTGTTGACCCATGGAAATGATATTCCGTCTGAGCTTTTTACGCAGTCCAATTAGGAACTAAATATTCTGCGTAGTTTACCTACAATCTGGCCTTCTGCTAATTTATTGTTTAACGCTGGCTGTGCTTTCTTCCACGAAACTAGGCTGGTATACAAAAAGAACAGTAGTGCAAACTTAAGATTATCATACAACATCAACAGAACAGATTCTAGTATCTAAACAGATTTGTCGCCCGCTCGGAGCAGTGGTTACAGCGTCTTCTCTAGAGTCGCGAAGTAAGGAGTTGATCCTTACGTCACGGGTTCGAATCCTACTGTGGGACGTGAAGACCGATCCTAATAATTGTGAATTACGTTATGCGATCTTGCACACAGTTCCTAAATGCTATGAACTTCAAATATCCTGACTGAGATACACACTTGTGCCCATTATAAATCACACATAGAAAATGCCTTAAACTGTCGTAATTAGTTTTATATTTGAATTAAAGGTAAAGTCCGTGAACTACGTTACAGTGAATTACGTTATGGTCGATTTTCTTTTTGTTGTAAAAGAATCCTAACTAGGAGCAAAATTACCATGAATCTTTATTCAATGCATATACATGTATGTCATCGCTTATCATATAGGAACTAGTGGTCGGCTCAAACTTAATCACATGATTAAGCATAGGCATCGGAAGCAAATTGAAAGGAGGAGGGGCTAATTGAAAGTTGGAGGGGAGCTAAACCAATAAAAAAGGTAAACCCCAATTTTCAATGCCTATATTATCTATATATTTGCAAGAAAGTGGGGGGCTAAGTCCGCCCTAGCCACAACCACCCCCCCCCTCCCGGTTCCGACGCCTATGTTAAGTATATAACAGCATATAGACTTGAGTTACTATTTATAGAATCTGAAATGATGTGTTATAATATTTGACTATGTATTTTAAAGTTGTGTAATACATTTCCCGGAGGGGTGATCATGATTTGAACAACATTGAATTTTACACTTCCTCGGATGCCTTTATGACGGATATGGAGATAACGACCAGTATTCAATATCAAAGTCCATAAAACAATACAAAATAGGAGCAGAGCAAATACGGACCTCCAAAACATCAGAGATGGGATCAGGTGACATGGAGAAGTGAACTTCCCCTGTCGACCGGTCACACCCTACTCACGGGGTCAGTACTGGAAATAACACTGTATGTCACTAATATATATATTATATAAATATATATAATATGAATACTATATACTATGTGAAGATGCTTCCATATGAAAAGGATAATTCATGACTTTGCTGTTGTAATGTCAACATCAATACGACTTTTGAAGATGTTTACTATGTATTCCTAAGTAAAACTCTGATTCCCCATTGTAATCCCACTATACACAAGGGGTTATGCTCTGAACAAAGTTAATAGACAGACAGGCAGGCAGCTAAACTAACAGAAAGACGTCAGAAAAATGTGATCAGAAAAGCTCATTTGAGCCTTCAGCTCAGATGAGGTGAAAACAGAAGTACCATGATTTGCATGCATCATCAGCTAGAGAAGATTCGAGTATCAATAAAGTAGAATAGGTAGAATAAGTAGAATAGGTCATAATAGGACGAATGTTCTGCATGGAAATGGTCGATACAATGAAATTGTTAGCAAATACAATTTATCATTAAGTCAAATGCTGACAAACACAAAGAAGAAACAAAATTTATTCTTTCAGGAAGGTTTGGGCTCTACTATAATTTTTTTCTATGAAATGGTTACATTTCATTAAACTTAGTACTGTGAAATAACGTTGTTTTCGATGCAAGGAGAGACCCACGAATTTATGACTACCACGAAATGTAAAATTTAATATACATTACTACTAAAATATACTCCAACCACGAAATCAAGTCCCCACAAACCAAGATTTTTCTTCAAGCCTAGAAAATTTTACCCAACAAAATATGTGATTTTAAAGTAGTTATGTTTCAGTGAAGACATTTAAATGCCTAATTTTGTTTTTATTTAAGTACAGTAACATAATCATATATTAGTATTATAAACCTTGAAAAGTAAAATATTAATTTTCTTTGGTGGTGCTTTAGTCATTTTGTCTAGTGTATTTAGTTATTGTACGATCGTTGCTTATGACTACACTGACGTCTAAGTGTATTGTTTGTTGTTTAACGTCCCTCTCTAGACTTTTTCACTCACAAGGAGACGCCACTACTTGTCGTGGAGGACTGCAAATTTATACCTGTAATTAGTACTCAAGACAATTGAGCAGTTGGGGTCATCTGCGTGGCAACACCTACTGCGACACAAGGCCACGGTTTATTCGGTCTTACCCGATGACCAGTCTGCATGTCCCTCAGAGGAATCGAATCAGGGAAGTTAGGATCTGCTTCTTAATAACTCTGTGACTTTTGAGCGCACACTCTTATCACTGCACAATGTGAGCAACTAGAGTTTTGTTTAAGAAACACCACATTGGCGCAGTGTGAACTTGAAAGATTCCCTGCAATATTTATATGTACGTTATCGTTCAAACCATATGGAAAGGCATTGCCTAGTTTTCTGATCCATCATTCTTTACTTTGTCTACAAATGGATTTATCGTAGTTAGACTTTTAGTTTGATGATATATATTTCTTTTTAAAATCTACCCCTCAAGGAAAGAATATAGCGGTCAAAAGAATTGAAATTTTAATGGCCTCCATTATTTATTTTAATTCATGGCCAGACATTCTCTTCTTGAGTGAAGTTTTGGTTTTCCCGAAATTAATTAGTCCGCTTAGTGTACATTCAATTCAATAGACAATGTTTGATGATTTATACAGGTCACATCTTCACCAGTTTAAGTCCATTAAGGTTTCTATAAGGAATCATTTGTTTTCAAAATATCAAGAGGTTTGCGATTTTTAGTTGAACATTTGAAAATGGAACACACGGGTCCGTAAAAAAAAGTTGCCAAAATAAGTTCTTATATCTTAGAAAAGGTTTGGTTTGCTGTTTACCAAAATTAGTAATTATTTGTTGGCTTTTTCTAAGATAAATTGTAAATCCCCTAAATTTCTAAGATAAATTGTAAATCCCCTAAAGGAGAATGTAGAGAGCACCAGCCGTTCTTTCATAGTCTGCGCCCCTTTCAAAATTGCTTAAAAAACTCATAACAAAACATATATTAAGTTCCTTGCGTCATATTCTTTGGTAAGGGGTTCGAAAGTCAAATCTTATCTATAAGTTAAGATAATTTAAAAATCTTTTATATGTTCCTGTTAACAATTCGTTCAATCATTACATAGTATTTAGGCATGCTGAATTTATAAAATTTACGCAACAAATAATTTCATTATAAATTCATTAAGATTTATGAAATATTTGTCTCATGTGAATGGTTCAAATCTATAATTGTAATTGACGATACGAATGTACAACCACAATGCCTTTCTTAAATTGCAAAAAAAACTTTTATAAAGTTGTATTTAATGTTTTTCTTTTAACTTTGTGAATAACAAATAAATCTTATCAAATTTTTTTTAATTACATAACGGGCCAAATCGCTCATCTGAGCACTGTGGCTAGGAAAAAGTAGAAATGGGTTTATTATTGAAAAGTTTAAATCCAAGAGTAGTCCCATGACCAATCATGGCTTTGCTATATTCTTCAGAAGATAATTTTTAAAGAATTTTCCTATATATGTCTATGTAAAACTTTGATTGGCCATTGTGGCTTCGCCCTACCCCTGGGGGTCATGATTTGAACAAACTTGAATCTACACTACCTGAGGATGCTTCCATATAAATATGATCAATTATGGCTTGCTATTCTTAAGAAGTTTTTTTTAAAGAATTTTCCTAAATATTTCTATGTAAAACTTTTGTCGGCCATTGTGGCCCCGATCTACCTCCGGGGGTCATGTTTTGAACAAACTTAAATCTAAACTACGTGAGGATGCTTCCATATAAATATGATCAATTATGGCTCGCTATTCTTGAGAAGTTTTTTAAAAGAATTTTCCTAAATATTTCTATGTAAAACTTTTGTCGGCCATTGTGGCCCCGATCTACCTCCGGGGGTCATGTTTTGAACAAACTTAAATCCACAGTACGTGAGGATGCTCCCATATAAATATGATCAATTATGGCTTTGTCATTCTTGAGAAGAAGTTTTTTAAAGAATTTTCTTATATATTTCTATGTAAAACTTTGGTCGGCCATTATGGCCCCGTCCTACCCCCGGCTGTCATAATTTGAACAAACTTGAATCTACACTACCTGAGGATGCTTCACCATAAGTTTCATTTTTCCTGGCACAGTGGTTCCTGAGAAGAAGATTTTTAAAACATAAACCGAATTTTTATTAATTCGCAATTATCTTCCCTTGAATGAGGGTGTTGCCCTTCATTTGAACAAACTTGAATCCCCTTCACCCAAGGATGCTTTGTGGCAAGTTTGTTAAAATTGGCCCAGCGGTTCTTGAGAAGAAGTCGAAAATATGAACAGGTTACAGACAGACAGACGGACAGCTGAACGGATAGACAGACAGACGGATGCCGGACAAAATGTGATCAGAAAAGCTCACTTGAGCCTTCGGCTCAGGTGAGCTAAAAATGTAAATATGCAAGTAGCATGTTCATTTAAATTTTTTACATGTATTTAAACACACTTAAATAAAGTATACTTCACTTTCTTGTTAGGGCTGAATTTAATTGATATTACGAAATCTATTATTGACTACCTTTCGTTTTTTCACTTATGAATAATTAAAGACAATAAATAAAGCAATTTCAATTAAGCGTGAGTGCTTTTACATTGATTATAAATGTTTTCTTCTATAGAGCG